TGAAGGAGCAAACCTGAAAAAAGAGAGGGTGGGGAAGGGTGTTCTATTTTTTGTCTTTGGGACAGCGACAAAAAAACCTACCAACTCTATTTTTAATTGGCAGCAATTTAATTAATTTTCCCCAAGTCGAAACTGTTTTGTCCATGACCATAACGTGCAAGAAATTTTCCTGTCTTTATCTTGAACCATGAGCCTTCTCATACTCTTATCTCTCCTGTCCTATTGGTGAGAGAGCTTGAGGGAACAGCTGGGTGGGTGTCTGGCAGCCAGTCACAGTCAACCCATGAGTTCAGCAGCACAACATCCAAATTATCCTCAAATTTTCACTTCGTCTTCTACCACTCTTGCTAGATTAAGGCCTATTACTTTCAATTTCATATACACAAAGCTGAGAAACAGGGGGACCAACATATAAACAGCTTTGGATCTCAAAAAAAAAATATTTGGCATCCAGTTTAGTGGAATATGTAACAACTTCAGAGCACTCATTGGTTTGGAGGCTCAGGATTTCTAGAAGTAAGATCCACAATCCCAAATGAGTACATCTCAAAAGGACAGGTACAATTAATGATCAGCTGTGAAAGATCTACCTTCAAGGGACATGTCCATCTTCCCATAGGAACTTTAGAGCTGAGAAGTCAATTCCTCTGGGCTGCATTCACATGCCTTACACAGAGGTACTTTTCCTCTTTTTTACCATGCCTTGTCTCATTCACTACAGTCTTTTCAAAGGAAACCTTAAATACAAGCAAGCGCTTTTATACAAAGACCTATGTCAACCCATTTGCTGTATCATCCTTTCTTAATGTAAGTAGGGAAGCAAAGCCTCCGTGGAAAAAGAATAGCAGCAAGTATGAAATTAGACAACATCAAAATACAAACACAGACCTATCTACTTTAAACTTTTGCCTGCTTTTGCATGTTTTTCTACTTAGCCTTTTGGTATGCTACTAATATAATCACTGCACAGGTAAAGCCCTTCCTTTCAGAAGGTTTTCCACAGAAAACTGCTGCACTACCTATTGGTCTCTCTGCCTCAAAACATTTTAACAGGCTGGTCAAATTCACCAGGTTTAAAAAAACAAAAGGGTCAAAAATATTTAAATTCACCCTAGGTTTGAGAAATTCGACATTGGTTAAAGACCTGAATAAATGCTTCCAGTGTGCTACAGAGAGACAAAATTTAGCAATAGTATCCTACTTTTGATTACACTTACTGACCAGCAGATACATATACAGAGCTCTTGATTAGAGTCACTGCAAGAGGTATTTCTGAGTCATTGGGATTATACTTGGCAATCACATCAATCACCATACCTGAATCCAGAACAAACTCCTTTTAATTCCCCTAGGTTATATCAACTGGGATTTAAAAGCTTTCTCCCAAAATCTCCTAGATTTTCTCACCTACAGAGCTCTCAGGCATTAAAAGACCAAAAAAAAAAAAAAAAAAAAAAAAAAAAAAATAAAAAATAAGCATTTCAAGACTTTTCCTAACAACTGCTACATTTTTTTTTCCTGTTGGGAACAGAATGAAAGCTGAAAACATTTATTAAGACACTTGGATGACACATCCTGGCTCGTGGTGTATAAAGACTCAGACTGAATGAACTGATGGTCATTTTCTTGCTTAGAGCCTCTTGAAACACTGAAATATTCTTACCTCACCCCTCGTGATCATGTACAAACTATTGCAATTTTTCAGTTTATAGTTTGTCCAAATGTGACCAAGTTTTATGCAAAGACAGCAAACAAGCACAGTTGTTATTAGAAAAAAATGTTTTCAAGTATCTACTTGAAATATGATGAAAAAATATTACACAAACCAATTTATTCTTCACTTACTCCCAATTTTAGCAGTGGATCTAAATTTAAAAGCAATTATACAAAGACCATGGAAAGCTTCAATCCAAGCAGATAGAGCTGATCAAACTTAGAAGCAGCTGAAGATAGTTACACATTTCTGACTATTCAGAAATTCAAGCGTCAGGATCAATGCAAATGTTTTTAAATCGTGAAAATTTTCTTTACCAGAAATAAAATTATTTTAGTTTGAAAAATGCCAATTCACAGGAATTGAAACAGTGTATGGGGAAGTTTGTTTAGACAAATTTTCTCACTTCCACTAGTGTGATTGTTAGAGGGTGTTTCAGTGTTATTAAATGAAAATTCAAGATTTTTCCAAACCAGAAATATACTTTCTTCAAAATAAAATCAGAACCGTTGCTTTAAAAAATCCTGTTTCTTTACTTCAAAAGATTCAAAAAGTAAAATTAAGAGATGTTGGGGACCAAAAGCTAGAAGACTCCTCTCCTTTGTTCTTCAACACTTAGATAAATGCAAAGAAACAGTCATGGCCTGAGTGGGAGAGGAAAGTCAGGACTGGGATATCTGGAGTACACTGGGACAGGGAACCCAAATATAGGGGACATTAGAAATGGGGTGAGGGAGGTTGGAAAAGGTAAACCCAAAATCTTAGAAAAGGTGAAAAAGGAGAAAACCAGGACTAGCTTAATTAAAAACAGATAGTGATAGCAGCAGTAGTGTAGAAAGTTAGAAGTTTAGTGAAAAGCTGAAAAGGAGATGGCAATACAAGACCAAAATCAGGACAGAGATGTAATTTTCTAGGAAACCATGGAGTGAAATCTAGTATTTTCTGATCTCATTATCTGCCAGCCTCACCTGCAGGGTTCTCTTCTAATTCCTCCACTGTGTTCTACAGAGAGTATACTGCTACAGCAATCAGCAGCCCTTTAGCTCAAGTGGCAGCAAACAAAAAATTTAAGCCTCCACTGCAGTATTTGGGTGCTAACAAGATGTCATAGGGAGGAATATATCTGCTACGTTTGTGTCCCATTTATCACTGATGTTCTGATGTCTGTTCAGAGAAATGGGATTGTGTTTCTGCCTTAGATCTCCTATAGGAAGCAAAATCAGACACTTCATTAAAAGTTTTTCATAGGTAGTCATTAATTGTCTAGACCTAATTCTCCAAGTTGCAGGGTTGAACTAATTGACAGGATCTAATTTACACACATGCTGAATCATTCTGATGCAAATGACTAAAAAATCATGCCAAATTGGTACCAAATACATTCAAATTTAATCTGGTGCCTTGTTTCCAAACCTGTAAAATGGGAAGAAGATCACAGAGTGACAGATTATGATGCCCACATGCATCACAGAAGCCCACTCACTTCACAGAGCAGAGACGTGGGAAAAAATCCAGTTACAGCTTCTTAGTTCTGTATAAACATATTGATGAGTAGCATCAATATGATGAATACACAGACACACACAAAAATAAATTAAAAAAACCAACCTGCTCTATATTTAGAGTAAAGTTTAGCTGGTGTGCCTTGTTCCAAACAAGCAATAAGAAACAAGACGGAAATCAAATAGGCTGTTTATTTTTACTGGGGGCCAAATTTAGACTTCTGATCTATGCCTGAGACAGCAAGAATCCTGTGGAAAAATCTATGTGACCACATCACTGAAGACTGTATCATCTGCCCAAGGAAGTGGGATGTGGATTGCAAAGAAAATCTTAACTCTGGCTTTCCTGACTTTTGACTTTGCCATGATGGCATTCTTTTAACAGATATTTTTAGCTGTAATGCATCTTTAATTATGCAATTCATATACATGTACATATGCGCATCCTAATTTAGCTAGAATTGTATCATTATTATTTATATACTCAATTTCATGAAAAAGAGACTTCAGAAACAGATGGCATTTGGGATCGAGTGGGTAATGCAGAGAGTGCCACCTCGTGGCCCTTGTTAAAAAAGCATATCCAGAAAAATTGTTATCCAATGCAGAAGTAATGGGGATGAAGTGTTTGCCAGCATGTGTCACTAACTTAAAAAGCTCCCTCTTAAATAAAATTTATTTTTCCTATAAGCTAATTTTGACTAAACCACCACCAATTACAACAAGGCTAGGGAACGATTTATTTTTCTTGCACATGTTTCTTGTTCTCTCTTGCCAATTCACAGCCCACATAGTACAGCATGTATTTACTTTAGAAGGAAAACATCCCTCAAATAATTTTCTCACAAACCCACTTTTTGGGTTTATTTCAAATTCCTGACTCATGGCTTTCCACATAATCTAAATTACCACATTACTTCAAATTAATTGCATTCACACAGAAGGGAAAAAAAATATTTTGCAGAGATAGGATAGTACAGAGATAGGATAGTGCCAGTATTCTGGCACTGCCTATTGCAGCCATTCCTTTTGGCAAAACAGCATGGGTCACATCTAAACAAACACCCACATCAGCGTGGCATCCATGGTTCCTGGTCTTTTTGATTCTACTATCAGCCTTCGGACTGCTGATGTTTTCCTCAAAAACCCAGTTCCCATAGTTATATACAGCTATGAGAATTTTAGACCACCAAAAAAGAGAGTTTCTGGCTCTTGCAGCTATGGAGAAATGGGCCAGGAAAGTATCACCTCTAAAATTCTGTAATGAAAAAAAGATCAATCCAAAGTACCTTAATAATTTCAATGCAAATCTCAAGCTGGGAGACATCAGCTTTCCCTGAGTGATTGATCTTTTCTCTCCCCCCAACTACATTTCTCTGCAAAAAGAAGCAGGAGCTCAAAAGGCTGTCTGGAAATGCAGAAAATATATAAGTATGAAAAAAAAAATAAAGGAGGAGAAAAGAGAGCAAAAGAAAAAAGACTGACACCCTCAGTGTGATATGAAATACTCTGGTGAATCCGGATCCTCCCTAATCTCTAAAACAAACTTGAGAACAAACTGCTTTGTTTGCTTTTTCTTCTGGATGGCTCTGAGTCATGGCCTCAAAAACATGGAAAACAAATTAGCAAAAAAACCACAACAGAAAAAGCCAACACTCCCTGCCCCAAACTAAGGAAAAAAAGCCAATAAAACCCCCCACAAACAAACAAACAAAAACAAACCCCAAAACCAACCCACACACAGAAAACAGCAGAAATATAAATCCATGTTCTCTAACACATGCACTCAATGCAGGTTTACCATCAAGGAAAAGATTGTGCAGAGGAATGGTTTAGAGAGCCTTGGCTTTAATTCCACAGCATTGGAAAGCACCACATTTGCAGCTCAGGAATGAGGTATACTCAGTCTGCCCCAAACAGAGCCTGGTCCAAGAGAGTGTGCTGCAGTCTCGGGCATATGCTTACCTGTCCCCTAATTCCATATTTTATATCATTATAGCTGTGACAGAAGTTTCTCATGCTGGCTAAGAACAGTTAGTCTCTCAGACCCTTGTTTTCAACAGAGTAACACTAAATAATACACAAGAAGTAACAGGAAGGGGGGAAGAGAGAGACACAAGAACAGGGAGCAGGAGCATAATGGCAGAGAAAAGACTGGGAACAGAGATACAAAGATAACGATCAAAAATTACTCAACCATCACACTCACCCTCCGCGACATCATCATCCACCATCAGCTTGAGGCTCTTTCCTCGCCGAACTACACGGACAGTGTGCCACTCGTTGTCATTGAGTTTCTGTCCAGCATAAAGAGTTTCAGGTCCCTTGCCTGGGGATGGTGATAGGTACAAGAGTTCAAGCCAGACTCCCAAACAGTTTAGGATTTGCTCAATGGGAAAAATCACCAAAATCAACCTGGTGTGATACAGACCAGTAGATTGTATAGGTGTACTACGGCTTGTAATCAACCCTCATGGCTACACCTTCCCAGCGCAGAGGAGTCAGGGTCACAAACCCTTCCACTCAGTCAAGTGCCTTCCTCCACAAAGCCCAGAGGTCACATGCATTTAAAACAGGGGTAGAAATCTCTCTTGGGCTGTGGTACTGATTTCCAAACATCAAGTTGTACAGCGCACTGCAGTAATAGGAAAACAAGCTGATGACCGAAATGTCTCTAGAGTGGAGCCATTACAGCAGAATTTTGTTCTAAGAACCTGGATTTACAACATTGTCAACGTGATTGGGATTCTTTTCAAAGTTAATTACACTGGTCTCTCAACACTTTGGTATCAAACACCAGGTTGGTTTCAGTCTCAAAAAAACCCAAACCAACCCACATAAAACCCAATAAAATAACCCCCACAGAACTTCAAACCCCATCTCTCGAAAATTAATAATAAGACAAAAATAAAACAAAATCTCAGAAATACAACCACTCACCAACTTGGCTGATTGCTTTAAGTTTCTGTAGCAAAGCAGCCTAGATATAAGGTGCTTACTTCACCCCTTGAATTACACGTCAAAAGGAAACAAGGAGCCATTTCTTCTCCAAGGCAATACTACAGTTGCCCTTGCAAACAATCCTCCTGGAAAAACAGCAGTAGTGCTACCCATATTTGTCCAGTTTTGCTGCTCACCCATCACAGTTGACAGGCAATTACTTAAATTACAGAACTGAAACACCTCACTCGCATCAAATGGTAAGTGAATGGCGTGTGCTAAATTAAAAGCATCTATCCTCATTTCAGTACAGTACTAAAGTGGGAGGCTTGATCCAGGTATATCAGAGAAACACAGAATGAGGACAGCAGAACTTGTTGCACGTGGAATCTGGACCCTCTGGCCAAACTGGCAAAAGGGGAACCCAAGAAAGAAAAAGCAAGATACATTGAACATATTAAAAGAGACAGGACAGGGACAATTAGGCACTGCTACAGCTCAGCTTCCTGCACTGGTAAAACTAACATCAGACAATCCATTGTCCACAGTATGCACTCTGCCCAATTAGCAACATTACTGTAACTGCTTTTCACCAAAGGAGAAATATGGGTAAAGAAGCTGGTGTCTCATTCAGCTAGACTATAATATGTAATAGAGGAATGCTAAAGAAGGACACCAAAGCAAAATGAATATTCTGTTATTCTCCTTAAAGGATCATGCAGTTCATGATAATAAAAAAAAGGAGTTCATTACCTTTTCAAATAAAGCCCATTGCTAGACAATTTTACCATAAGGCATGAATGAAAAAAATGCCTTTTTTCTAGTAACCTGAAAAATAAGTCATTCTTGGACTAAAAGGCTAGAAAGTTATATATTTCAGTTACAGAGAATATCTCCTTAACAGGAGAAACCAATAATCTCTGCAGTTCCTCACCCATGTGCCAAAGTTACATTGTACCACACATGTAAACCCAGTTGTATGAGGTAGTTAGATTATGGCCAAAGAGTTTAAGTTCTTTGGAACCAGACAATCAAACTCTATTAGAGTCCAAGAAAGTTACACTAGATTTACATCAGTAAGTACATTCTATCCTAGCAAACAATTAACAAAATTATGTCTCTGGATGGCCAGAAAAATTACTGTCTAATATCAAAATATACTGCATTAGTTATTGTAGCTCCACACAGCCACTTCCCAGGTAGGAAGATAAAGGAGTTCATCTGGACCCACTTTTCAACCCAAGCCTGAAAAAGCAGGGGTCACCCAAAATTATCTGTTTTGGCTTGTCTTGATGCCCAGTGTAACACCAACAGAAGTTATATAACTAGATAACTAGTCTACCTGGACTTCAGCAAAGCCTTCGACACCACCTCCCATAGTGTACTCCTGGAGAAGCTGGCAGCCCATGACTTGGACAGATACACTCTTTGCTGCATTAAGAACTGCTAGATGGCTGGACCCAGAGAGTGGTGGTGAATGGTGTCACATCCAGTTGGCTTCTGGTCACAGGATCAGTATTGGGCCCAGTTCTGCACAATATCCTTCACTAGTGATCTGAATGAGGGGTTCAAGTCTACCCTTAGTACATTTGCAGAAGACACCAAGTTAGGTGGGAGTGTCAATCTGCTAGAGGGTAGGAAGGCTCTGTAGAGGGATCTGGACAAGCTAGATAGATGGGCTGACACCAACAGAATGACGTACAACAAGACCAAGTCCTGTGTCCTACACTTTGGCCACAGTAACCCCAAGCAGTGCTAAAGGCTGGGGGTAGAGTGATTTGAAGGCTGCCCAGAGGAAAAGGACC